TGTGGGGCCGCGGCGGTTGCCAGGCATGGTTCGGCCAGATGCCTGTGCGATGCCCAGCCTACTCGAGTGAGCTGCGGAGGCCAGGAAGGGACCCCTCTTGCCTGTGGAGCGCCAGAGCTTGTGGACAGGTTGGCTGTAGCTAGGCTGTTGACACGCGGATGCACTCCGTGAGCCGCTGTCCAACGAGTGAGTGGAGACTCCTGTGCTCAAAAAAAAAAAAAAAAGAAATGCGGCCAGGCCGCACTGCTCAACGGCCGCGCCTATCGAATCCTAGCCACTCTGGGAGGCTGGAGGCATGGCAGATTGGCCCGCGGAGGTCAGCAGAGCGCTTCGCCAAACCAGCCCGTGAAGCAAGAGTGAGACCCCGGGCGTCTCTACTAATGAAAAATAGAGAGAGAATTATTGGCCAAGCTCACGCCGAACTGTACTATATAGAACAAAATTAGCCGGCCGTTACCGCACTGCGAGCTCACGCCCAGCCTACTCGGACAGGCTGAGGCAGGAGGCATCAATTGAGCCAGGAAGTTGAGCGTTGCTGTGAGCTAGGCTGACGCCACGCGCACTCACTTCAGTCTTCAGCCAACAGCCGAGTACTGCTGTCTCAAAAAAAATTGAAGAAAAGCTTGCAGTTGGAGACCAGCTTGCGGCAACCAGTAGCCAAGACCCTGCTCCATACAAAATATTTAAAAATTAGCCTGCCTGTGGTGGGCGCTACCTGTAGTTCCAGGCTACTTAGGATGCTGACTGGCGCGTTGGAGGGGAAACAGCTCTGAGTCCCGCGAGCTTCAAGACCCGGATCGCATGGCAGGTGGGCAGCAGCACGCGCGGCGGTCCGACGTGATACATAGGCAGCTAATAGTGAGATGTGCACCCATTGCTGGGGCGTGATCCGCTCGATGCTGGCAAGACGTCAGACTCTGCTGGGCCGGGCAGGCAGCGAGGAAGAGCGGCATGTATTGCAAACCTGTAAAATTGTGTACCGCCGCAGGTAACATGCCAAAATAAAAAAAGAAGACAAAAAAAAAACACCATCATGGGCAACATGGTGGACCCCCATCTCAAAAAGACAAAACCAACCAAAAAACCCCAAACAGTGCTTCAGTGAATAATTGTGTAAAGTCATTTTGCATGTATGCAAGTATCTATAGGGTAATTTCTTAGATGGGGAATTACTAGGTCAAAAGCATGTATACTCTTTGATAGCTCTTGTCAAATTGCCCTCAATAAAGATTAAATCAATTTACCCTCCTACTGGTTATCTATACAAGTGACTTTTCCAGGCTAGGGTAACCAACCATCCAGGTTTGCTTGGGATTGTCCCAGTTTAAGCACTGAAAAGCCCCATGTTCCAAGAAACCCTTCCATCTAGAGTAAATTGTGATGGTTAGTCACCTTACTCTTCCCTATACCTTCTCCAACAATGTGCTACCAAATGTTTTGATCTTTGTTATTCCTATAGGTGGAAAATGGTATCCCACGCTAGTTTATTCGTATTGCTATTATTATGAGTGAGATTGAACATCTTTTCACTTCTGTAAGAACCACTTGTATGTCCTTTTCTGTTAACTGTTTGTTCATATTCTTTGCACAGTTTTCTATTGACTGAGTTTTTTGTTTGGTTGTTTTTTTGTTTGTCGGTTAGGAGCCCTTTATGTTTTAAGGGAATTAGTTCTTTGTGAAACAAATTATTATTCTTTCTTAGCTTATTGTTTGCCTTCAAATATGTTGGGTTTTGCTATATAGAAAGTTTTTATTCTGTGTATTCATACTTATTAATATTTTCTTGGTTTTGTGTCATACTTTTAGGAAAGTACTCCCATGCTAAGATCTTCTTTTTTTGCCATGGTTTCTTCTTAATGTTTTCTTTTTGTGTACATTTAAAGCTTTGATACATTTGGAATATATTTTGGTATAAGGTGTGAGGTGGGGATCCACTTTTTCCCCCCCAGACAGCCACCTGCTGTGGCTATTGATTGAATAAATTCATCTTTTTTTTTCTACTGTCTTGAAATGCCACATTTATTGTATGTCAAATTCTTGTATGTGTTTGGGTCTATTTCTGGACTTCATATTTTATTACATTCATTTGTCATGTGCCAGTGCCATTCTATTTTAATTATTTATAGTATAATTTAATACTTAGAGCTAGTGCTTCTTCCTTACTCTTTTTCAGAATTTTTTGGTTATTCTTTCTGGTTTATTTTTCTATCTGAATTTGAGAACCAACTTACTCATATTCCCCCCAAAAATCCTGTTATTATTTTTAGTGACATTATGAAAAAAATGTATAGATTAATTTAGGGAGAATATATGTGATGCTCAATCTTCATATCTGAAAAAAATTTTTTTTCACTTGTTCAAGTTTTTTTTGTGGCCCTCAAGGAATATTTTTTTATTTTCTTCATATAAATCTTATATTTTTTATTAAGATTATTCCTAGGTATTTATTTTTCCATTCTATTAGAAATTTAGTCTTATCTGCTATTAGATCTTCTAACATTGGTTTTGTGGTGAATTTTAGAATTCTTTTTTTTTGTAAACTCTAAAAATTCCTTTGGGATTTTATTGAGAATTGTGTTAAATTTGAGGAGAATTGATGTCTTCATAATTTTCAATATTTCTATCCAGGAAAATGCTTTTTGCTTTTCAATTTTTTTTTTTTTTTTTTTGAGACAGAGTCTCGCTTTGTTGCCCAGGCTAGAGTGAGTGCCGTGGCGTCAGCCTAGCTCACAGCAACCTCAAACTCCTGGGCTCGAGTGATCCTTCTGCCTCAGCCTCCCGGGTAGCTGGGACTACAGGCATGCGCCACCATGCCCGGCTAATTTTTTATATATATATCAGTTGGCCAATTAATTTCTTTCTATTTATGGGTCTCGCTCTTGCTCAGGCTGGTTTCGAACTCCTGACTTTGAGCAATCCGCCCGCCTCGGCCTCCCAAGAGCTAGGATTACAGGCGTGAGCCACAGCGCCCGGCCTTCAATTTTTTTTTAAATGGTGTGGGGGACTATGAGGAGAGGTGTTCAGTTGCTTTGTTTGTTTTTGTTGAGACAGAGTCTCATTCTGTCACCATGGGTAGAGTGCAGTGGCCTCATTGTAGCTCACTGCAACCTCCAATTCCTGCCTCAGCCTTTGGCAGAGGAGAGGGATGTAGCTGGGACTACAGGTGTGGGCCGCAATGCCCAGCTGGGTTTTTCCCCCTCATTTCATTTTGGTAGAGATGGGGTCTCACTTTTGCTCAGGCTAGTCTCAAACTCCTGAGCTTAAGCAATCCTTCCGCCTCGGCCTCTCAGGGTGCCAGGATTACAGGCGTGAGCCACCATGCTTGGCCTGCTTTTCATTGTTTATTTTCTATAGCTCAGTAAAATGTCCTATATTTTTACATATAGAAAATTACATACAAATTTCTTATCACGTTTATTTCTAGATTTTTATGTGTTTTGTTGCTATTTGCCTTATATCTACCCATTTGGAATTCTTTGAGGTTCTAAGAATATTTCAGTTGATTCTCTTGGCTCTTGAGAATGCACAATCATATCATTTGTTAATAAGAAAATATTGCTTCTTCCTTTTCAATAGATGTCTCTCCTTTTCTTTTCTTTTTTCTTTTCTTTCCTCCATCTCTTACTGTTTGGCCAGAATATTTAGAGCCATGATAAATAATAGTAATGATAACGGGTATCCTTGTTTAGTCCCTGACTTTTTGGGGAACACTATTTTGCTTTATTTGTAGGATCTCTTCCTAACTGAGGTATAGGTTTTTTTTTTTTGGAAGAGTTTAAGTGAAATCCAACTTTTAAAAAAATTGAAAATGAAGTCTTTGTTGTCAGTGTACCTTTAAATTTTTAGAAAAAGAATAAATTTAGCGATGACTCCAATTTTTTATTGTTCAGGTTTTTATTTTTATATAATTGTATTATTGATTGCTTATATGTGGTCTAAATATAGTAAGCATTATTTGGCACAATTAGAAAATAGAATCTTTTTGTTGAAAATCTTTTAGCTTTTTAAATATTAGGATATAATTAATTACATTATATAACCATGCTAAGCATAATTTACCTTTTTTTCTTTTAACTCAGAAGTCACTTCAAAATCTTATCGCAGGCCAGGTGCAGTGGCTCACGCCTGTAATCCTAGCACTCTGGGAGGCTGAGGCAGGCAGAGCCTGGTTTGAAACCAGCCTGAGCAAGAGGGAGACCCCGTCTCTAGTCTCTACTAAAAATAGAAAGAAATTAATCAATACAAAGTCAAAATCGGACAAAAGAAAAACAAATAAAAAATAAAGATATTTGAAGAATTAATAATTAAAATTTAAAAAAAAGAAATTAATTGGCCAACTAATATATATAGAAAAATTAGCCGGGCATGGTGGTGCATGCCTGTAGTCCCAGCTACTCAGGAAGCTGAGGCAGCAGGATTGCTTGAGCCCAGGAGTTTGAGGTTGCTGTGAGCTAGGCTGATGCCACGGCACTTACTCTAGCCTAGGCAATAAAGCGAGACTCTGTCTCAAAAAAAAAAAATCTTATTGTATATCATGGTTTTTCCAGACATCATTTTTTATTTGTTATGGTAAAGTATGGAAGTACTAGTTAATAGAGTCCTAATTATTTGAACACTGAATAACAAAAATGCTGTGATCATTTAAAATAGAGTCTACTATGTTTTTCTTTTGACATATTTAAGATTATATTATATATGTATTTTATCTAATTGTAAAGTATTATTGAATTATTGTGCTTTCAAGGATATTGAGAAAAAGACCCAGGCCTCTATAGACTCAAATATTTGTTTTGTGAAGTGGCCAAGAAAACCAAAAATAGCTGTGTGGGCCTTTATGTTACTTAGAAGCACAAAAGAAGTTCACAATTAACATTGTCACGCAATAAGAATGAAATCTGATCAAAGAGCAATTAAATTGCTATATGTAAATTTTCATTTGTAAAACAAGTCCAGAAAAACTCCAAATATAAATGTGACTTTCTATATGTTTCATTTTACAGGGCAGAAAAGCATTTTATAAGGACTCCAGTTGTAGAAAAGCAGATGTACTTCCCTCTTCAGAATTATCCAGTGAACAACATGGTAACAGGTAATTTAAAATAAAATTTAGAGTAAACCCAGGTAGAGAAGAAAGTAGGGAATATTGTATAGAATAAAGCTATTGTTATACTTCAAATGTCTAGCAAGTAGTGCCCTCTCTATTAAATATGGTAATAGAGGATACATTATTCATATGTTGAATAAATTAACTTGCAGAATTGACCCAAGAACATTCCTTCATATTTTCTGTGCTAAAACAGTGGTCTGTAGGTAGGGTGAACACGTGTCCTAATTTACATGAGACAGTTCTGGTTTATGCCTGTTGTCCTGGCATTACTTTTTACTCCGTAGTGTCCCAGTTTGGAAGATAAATTATATAGATGACCCCAATCATAATTTCCTTTGAGAATCTAAGAAACATAGACTCCTTTCCCTAGCATATGCACACACAAACATGACCCGCAAACTTTACACATAATTTACAGAGGTTCACAGATGCCCGGAAGCCTATTCATGGATTAGCCAGCTGTCCATAGACTCCATATTTGGATTTCCTACCATAGGAGACCAGTGAGAGAGTAATGATAGACCATTCTAGTTAATTCTGAGGCCCACCAACATGCCTACCTTCCTTGCAGCTTGGTTGATATGGCAATGTCCTTTTGCTGAACTCCTCTTTTGTTTAAACTAGTTTAAATGAGTTTCTTGTCAGTTTCAGCCTGAAGTCCTAACTATTTCAAAACTGCCACAATAATCCATTTCTGATGCTGTAAATGTCCTATACTTCTTATACTTACAGGAATATTTTTACTAATGTAGTAATATTTTTTATTCCTATCCTCATATCTTTAGAAACTTACACAGTGTATATGTGCAATTATAAAGTAAACATTATAATATTTTTCTGCACTAGTTTATTTTACACAGATATCTAACCATTAGACAAAGATTATGAATTCATATTGAGTATAGTAATAGTGCTTCAAGATATCCTATAAAATGGGCTGGGCACAGTGGCTCACGCCTATAATCCTAGCACTCTGGGAGGCTGAGGTGGGCAATCATTCAAGGTCAAGAGTTCAAAACCAGCCTGAGCAAGAGTGAGACCCCATCTCTACTATAAATAGAAAGAAAGAAATTAATTGGCCAATTAAAAATATATATAGAAAAAATTAGCCAGGCATGGTGGCACATGCCTATAGTCCCAGCTACTCGAGAGGCTGAGGCAGAAGGATCACTTGAGCCCAAGAGTTTGAGGTTGCTGTGAGTTAGACTGATGCCATGGCACTCTAGCCTGGGCAACAGTGTGAGACTCTGTCTCAAAAAAAAAAGTCTTTAAAGATGCTAATCAATTTCATATGGTTGGATTCATAGATGATTTCTTAACTATGAATTTATTTATTTTTAAAAACAAACAAACTATATGCATAGATATCCTGTTGATCTTGATGGTAATGGTGTTGTAAATTCAGCTCATCCTTGAGCTCTATGGGAACTTTTTTCATATAGTATTTACTTTTAAATTAGATTTTAATTTTAGTATAAACCACAAACACTTGCTTCACACATAAAATATAATTATTCAAATAGCAAACAATTGCTATCAAGTTAATATTGCTTAATCATTGAGACTTTATGTTCTCTCCATTCTAGGTAGGTTTTTTTTTGATACTCATATCTATTTCAGATTATTAATGACATAAAAATTACTCACACCCCATAACCTTTGTTGACTGAACAGTAATATCAATTTTCCAGTTTTTTTTTTTATTATTAAAAGAATGTCTTCTCAGTGTTAGCAGTGCAGGAAAGTGTTACCTGCTGTGTAACAGGGAAGAGAAGCTGTTTGTGCTGTTAGTACCTAGTTGGATAGCTAGTTCTAAGACAGATCACCCTCTAAGCCAAACACATTTCCCAGTTATTTTTGTCTAAATACTTTTATGTTCCAGCCCCAACTTGGACATCACAATCTCAGTAGTCAAAGTGGCTAATCAAGTATCGTGTTTTCAAAGGTAGTGGGGGGGAGGGGGGAAAGGGCATTTATTGAAACTTTAAAATTTGTACCCCCATAATATGCCGAAATAAAAAAAAAAAGAAAGAAAAAAAAATAAAAGGTAGTAGGAAGTTGTAGGAAGGAGGAAAGGAGCATGTTTCCTGATAATTATCAAGTTTCATGGAGAACTTCTCACTGCTATTATTTCTTCTTTTCTAAAAACATTCTTTATTTTATTTATTTATTTATTTTGAGACAGAGTCTCACTTTGTTGCCCAGGCTAGAGTGAGTGCCATGGCATCAGCCTAGCTCACAGCAACCTCAAACTCCTGGGCTCAAGCAATCCTCCTGCCTCACCCTCCCAAGTAGCTGGGACTACAGGCATGTACTGCCATGCCCAGCTAATTTTTTCTTTATATATATATTAGTTGGCCAATTAATTTCTTTCTATTTATAGTAGAGATGGAGTCTGGATCTTGCCCAGGCTGGTCTCAAACTCCTGACCTTGAGGGATCCTCCCGCCTTGGCCTCCCAGAGTGCTAGGATTATAGGCATGAGCCAACACGCCTGGCCTAAAAACATTCTTTAGAAGTCTTTACTCTAATAAATCAAAGACACTGAAAGCAGATAGTATCATAGGGTTTCAAGTATATATATATATTTTATTTATTTTGCAGGTTATATATCAATTGATGCCATGAAGAAATTCCTTGGGGAACTACATGACTTCATTCCTGGAAGCTCAGGATATTTAGCATACCATGTTCAAAATGAAATTAACATATCTGCTATAAAAAACAAATTGAAGAGGAAATATTAAGTTATATTATAAATATTTGGGCATTTATCTTCTATAAAATATTACCAGAGATGTGCATAATTTAAAATGTTCCCCTTTGGAACTCAGGAATGGGGAAATAGGGAAAAATTCTTCTCTTTCTCAAATGTGAAAATTCAGAATCATTTTGGCTCTGTATTTTGACTTTTGGGCTGGATTTTTTTCCCTAGCTTGTTATATTACATTCACAAATTCTGAGTGCATAGTTGTTATGGAGTAATTGTCATTGAAACATGTTTCATAAGAAGTTGCAATCTCTTTGTCTGTCTTTGTCTCTCTCTCTCTCTCTCTCTCTCTCTCTCTCTCTCTCTCTCTCTCTCTTTCCCCACCCCTTTCTGTCATATGATCTTTTGGTTTTAATGTTCTATTCTATTTTTTTTCTAGGTTCAGTACTATGAATGCTAAGGTTTATGATTCTGGTCATTTTATTTTGATTTAAAAAATTAGAATGCTATAGTTGAGTTCTGATTATTCCTTCTGACTTGAAACATATGGAGTAAAACATTTTAGTAATTCATATTTCAGGTTGGATGGTTTCTGATAATAAATGTATCATAAGTGACTTAATATAAACAGACTATGAGTGTTATATTATCTGAGGTGAACCTGCAAGGCACCTTAGAATCACAGTGCTGGAAAGGACTTTAGAGAATATAGATTCCAACTAATTTGTTGTTTATAATGAAGAAATGAAGACCCTGAGAAGGTATCTTGCCAAGAGTGACTAATAAGGGGCCAAACCAGAACTGGAACACAACCCTCTTCATTTTCCAGGCTAGTGCTTCCCTACTCTCCCACAGTGGTATATGCTATAGACTCTGTGTCAGGTATAATAGGACTACAGATCCGCAAAGCAGACCTCAAAATAAGCCAACGTGCTTGTCTTTTAAATAAACTGAAATAGTATTGAAATGTAGTGATTTCAAGAAGGCAACTTGTTATCTTTATTCATATGGCCATGCTATGTAGAGTCTGGTCCATTTATTATATTTTGGAGACTTGTAAATGACATTTTATTTGTGAAGCTATCATCTTGTTAGAACTGTGCTTCCTCCTAGGAAGTGCATACCAGCTGTAGAATTATCCAAAGAAAATGCACACTTTTTTTAGTGCTTGGATCATTTGGGTATATGTGGGTCTGGCCCTGGTCTTTCTCCCATGACTCAAATTCTGTAATACAAAATTTTAACACTACTCTTGGCATCAGCATTTAAGAGTTATGTTTTTCCCATATGGTAACTTTTCTTTGTTTATATTCATATCTGTGGGTAAGCCCTTCTGAACTTGTAATTTTTTAAGAAACTAAATGTTAATTATCTTTTCCTGAAATGTGTTTTTCCTGAACACTTGATCTTAGATACATGCCATTGATTGTTTTTTATATAGAAATCAAGCCTGTCTCTAGATCTTAAATTAATTATTAAGAGGATTAAGTAAATTTACACCAAGTTGTATACATTGGGATTTCTTGGAGGACAGTATCCAGTATTTTTTTGACATATGTATTATGCATGTGTTAACATAGTAAATAGAAACTATGGCTACAATTTTGAACCATAAGAACCATACCCTAGATTTGGCAAAGCATGGGACTGAAAGAAGCCTGAGATCCTGAGGACATTGTGGAAAACTTTGCCATCCCAGCCTTGGGTCACCTGCCTACTTCTGGACTTTTATATGGCAAATAAATAAACTTCTGTTTTGTTTAAGCCACTCTATTTTCTGTCTATTATTTTCAGACTAATCATAATTGAGGCTTAAGGGTAAGCTACTGACTTTTTTCTATAGGAGAGAATTTTGTGGGCAATGCCAGTTATTTGCAGGTTGTATGGACCCAGATGTGCCAGATGAAACAAAGGCTTCCATAATATACATTCATCAGCTCTGTAAGGGTTGTCTCATTCATTCATTCAAATAACATTTATTGATGACTAAGTGTTAAACTCACAGCTTAGTAAGAACATGTCATTAAAACATTGTAATCTAGTTGGGGAATTTGAAACATAAACAATTGGCTGTAAGGCAAAGTGAAGTAGGTGTTATAATAAAGGCCAAACTCTATGAGAGCACAAGTCCTTGATTTCAGGAGAGGAGAAAAGAGGGATATTGGGAAAAGATAAGGACTGTTCAGAAGAGCAACTTTGTTTTTTTCCAGTGGATTCATAGCAGCATCATGACAACAAGGTGAAACAAAAGGAGGAAATGCTTTCATTTGCAACAACACGGATGAACCTGGAAGACATTATGCTAAGCAAAATAAACCAGACACAGAAAGACAAATACTGCATGATCTTGCTTATATGTGGAATCTAATAAAGTTGAACTCATAGAAATAGACAGCAGAACAATGGTTACCAGAGGCTGGGGCTCAGGTATTGAGGAAGGGAATAGGAAGTTGTTGATCCTGGGTTACAAAGTTTCAAATACACAGGAGGAATAGGTTTTGAGACTTATTGCACACTATAGAGTGACTATAGTCAATAATCATGTATTATATATTTCAAAATAACTAAGAGTAAATTTCAAATATCTCACCATAAAAAGTGATGGGTAAGGTGAGGTGATGGATATGTTAATAGGCTTGATTTAATCATGCCATGTTGTATACTATCAAAACATCACATTGTACCCCCTAAGTGTATATAAGCATGAGTTGTCAAAAAAAAAAAAATCCCCTGTACTTTTCTGGCCCACTCCTCAAATCTCTGGTGCCATTCTGCACCTGGTAGGAGGGGGATGTAGAGTGAGAAGGAGGAGACAAGTCAAGTGCCATTTCATATAGTATAGTAACAAGCTGTAGCTATCAGGCCCTTGAAATGTGGCTAGTCTGAATTGAGATGTATATAAGTGTAAGATACACACTGGACTGTGAAGAATTAGTACAAAAAAAGAATAATTTTTATATTTGATTACATGTTAGAACAATACTTTGGATATATTAAGTCAAAATATATTATTGAAACTAATTTCACCTATTTCTTTATTTACTTTTTAATGTGGCTACTTGACAATTAAAATTAGGCTGGGCCGGGCCCAGTGGCTCATGCCTGTAATCCTAGCATTCTGGGAGGCCGAGGTGGGCGGATCGCTTAAGGTCAGGAGTTCAAAACCAGCCTGAGCAAGAGCGAGATCCCCGTCTCTACTAAAAATAGAAAGAAATTAATTGGCCAACTAAAAATATATACCAAAAATTAGCTGGGCATGGTGGCACATGCCTTTAGTCCCAGCTACTTGGGAGGCTGAGACAGAAGGATTGCTTGAGCCCAGGAGTTTGAGGTTGCTGTGAGCTAGGCTGATGCCACGGCACTCACTCTAGCCTGGGCAACAGAGTGAGACTCTGTCTCAAAAAGAATAAATAAATAAATAAATAAATAAAATTAGATACAGGGCTCACATACAATTGGCTCTCCTTATCTATGGGTTCCACATTCGTGGATTCAAACAACTTCAGATCAAAAATATTTGGAAACAAAACAAAATAATTAAAAAATAAAAATTTTAGAATACAGCATAATTTACCTAATATTTATATTGTATTAGGTAGTATAAATAATCTAGAGATGATTTAAAGTGTATGGGGGATGTGTGTAGGTTATATGCAAATACTACAATATTTTATATAAGGGACTTGGGCATCTGTGGATTTTGGTATCTGAAGGAGATCCTGGAACCAATCCTCAGAAGTCACCAAGGGACGACTGTGCTTCTTTCAGACAGCACTATTCTAAAGGCTATTCCCCAGGTTCAGGTAGCTTAGAAAATTTAGGGGAAACAGATCTTGATAGTGAGTCAGGACCCAGGCCCAGTGGTATTCACCAGTCCTGACCTGGATCCAAATTCCCAGAGACTTCAGAAGTACTATAGTCATCACTTGGATCTGGTCTGTGACAGAGTCAGGTCACAGATAGGAAACTTGATTCTTTCCCTTCTGCATTTCCCTGTGGTCTGAGTCACAAATGTGGCAGGGTGTTGGTTTGTTTTCTCTCGTTTCTTTCAAGCAGCTTCCCTGAAGACACAAATAGCTTTGGAATGGCAAAGATAAGGGCCCAGTCTGGTGGAGTCTTCCATAATAGTAACCAAGCAGTTAGCATATTGCTTGCTTAGGTGACTTATTATATACAGAAGAAGGCAGCAATGTGGTGACCAAAACAAGATGGTACACAGATGGCTTTTGAGATGGAGGAGGGACAGTGGTGTGCGCCTGTAGTCCCAGCCACTCCAGAATCTGAGATGGGAGGATCACTTGAGCCCAAGAGCTTGAGACCAGCCTCAGCAACATAGTGAGATCCCAACTCTTTTAAAACAATATTTTTTAAATAAAACAAAGATGGAGGAACGATGGAAGAAATTGCCACCAAAGAAAGCAGCTCTACATGCTGGAAAAGAAAAAGAAACATTCTCCCTAAATCCTCTGGAGGGAGCTCTACCTTCAGACACTTTGTTTTTGGCCCTGTGAGACTGAGTGCAGACTATGGACCTCTAGAACTATAAGAGAATGAATGTGTATTATTTTAAGCCACTAGGTTTATAGTAATTTGTTTTGGCAGCCATAAGTAACAAATACAGCCAGGCACTACTCTCAAGGCTTCCCTTGTGTTACTTCCTCTGTCACATTTTCCCATCTCCTCATTGATAGTGGGGAGGTGTATTCAGGGATCTACTTACTGGCCACACCACACATCACACCCTGTACCCACCTGTGCAAAACCTCTCTGACCCACTCTATTCTGGGTCAGGGAAGGATCTAAAGAGCCTTATGCCACAGCTTTCCCCTAAACCACTCCTCCACCAATCCCATACCCAGGGTCCAGAGTGAAAGAAGTTGCAACAGGGGAAAAAATGATGATTTTTTCATTGACTTGTTTTGTAAATCTGGATGTTTATATTACGTTAGGACGAAGGTGGCAGCTTCTGCCATCTTGAAAGCTAGCAGCGTAGCATCCTGTTTGCCTGTCTGTCACGCTGCTGCCTTCTGTAGTAAAATCTCCTTCCCCCTCCCTCTTATAAGGACGCTTGTGATTACATTTAGGGTCCACCCAGATAATCCAGGATAATCTCCCCATCTCAAGATCCTTGACCTAATCACATCTGCAAAGACGTGGCTGTATTAGTTTCTTACGGCTGCCGAAACAAATTACTATAAACCTGGTGGCTTAAAATAATACACATTCATTCTCTTATAGTTCTAGAGGTCCATAGTCTGCACTCAGTCTCACAGGGCCAAAATCAAAGTGTCTGAAGGTAGAGCTCCCTCCAGAGGATTTAGGGAGAATGTTTCTTTTTTTTTTTCCAGCATGTAGAGCTGCTTTCTTTGGTGGCAATTTCTTCCATCGTTCCTCCATCTTTGTTTTATTTAAAAAATATTGTTTTAAATATTTTTTTCATATAAGGTGACATTTATAGGTTCCAGAGATTAGCATCTGGATATCTTTGGGGGCCATTATCAGTTGGCATAAAATAAATGCTTACGAAACTAGCTACTGTTATTACCATGCCAAGCTAAGCATTTCATATGTGCTCATTAATCCTCACTATAATGTAGATAGAGCCTATAGTTATCCCAGTCATCCCCAGTTATCCCATTATAATCCTATAATGTAGATAGAGCCTATAGTTATCCCACTCTTACAGAGAAGAAACACTTAAACTTAGCTTAATTACAGCCTATTAAATGGTTCTAAAAAAAAAAGAAAAAAATAAAAAATAAACTTAGCTTAAGCAGTTGCCTAAAATCAGATGGTGAGCAGAAATCCAACCCAAGAGACTAACTCCAGAGCTCATGCTACTTTGGGGAACATCTATGACTATGCTTGCTTTAATGGTAATGCTCATCCTACTTTTCTCTTGGAATCATTTAGGGTGCTGTATGTATTCTTCGGGTAGGAGAGGTCCCTCCCCATAAAGAGTCATCTCTTTCAGGACAGGGAATCTGTCATGCCCTCTCTCTTGTGGTTTGGTTCTCTGTACATACTGAAAATTAAATCAATGTTGACTTTTAACTGCCAAAACTGGAGAACATAAGGATAATTAAGCACAAACAATACAGATCAAACAGAACAAGATCTACCTCTTTATATGGCCAACTCCTAGAGGAGTAGGAGGGGTAAGTTGAAAGGGAGAAGTGTAGTTTTACATTCCAAAGGTCAGCTGGTTTATTGGTCCAGGAAAGGTAGAGATTAAAACAGCAATCCTTCAGAAAAACATCTCATTTTATTACGTGAAGAAGAATAAGTAGTGTTTTGTTCACGCAGCATGTACTACTAGTCTTTCTGGCATCATAGGACTGTGATTAAACTCAGCATATTATGGGAATGGGTAGGAGATGGACACCATTTACTAGGAGAAAGTATAACCAGGAAATGAACAATGAAGAAAGAGTTCTCCACAGGGTCAAAGTGATAAGGATTCTGACCTGCTCCATTTCCTACCTGGGCCGGTTCACCCCTCCTTAGGCAACCTGGTGATCCCCTGCTCCTGGGAGGTCACCATATTGATGCCGAACTTAGTGCGGACACCCGTCCAGCATAGCACACTACAGCCCAGAACTCCTGGGCTCTAGAGATCCTCCCATCTCAGCCTCCCGAGTAGCTGGGACTACAGGTGTGCGCCACCGGGACTGGCAAGTATTCTGAATGATGTTGGGGAAAAGTGTAGTGTGAAGGAGGACAGAAGGTGGTGGAAGAATGTGAAGTTGGGACTGCATTCCTGG